GAGATTTCTAAGTGAAATTCCAAGACTAAGAAACAAAAATTTGGAATGAAATTAACAAACCTGGAGTTTCAAAACTGGAATTGCCTTGTGGCTTTCGTCTTCTTCTTCCCCGGCTAAAAACACTTAAAACCCTCAAGAAACCTCAGTCAGTCTTGTGAATTGGGGAATTTGGGATAGAATCCGTAGAATAGAACAAAGTCACGCGCAAATAAGAAAGCGACACGTCACGTCACGTCACGGGAAAATAAAATTTGTTTTATAACTCGAAATTACAAATGATAGTCTCTTTTATTATCTCAAAATCTTCTCGTTACTTTGAGTTGACTCGTTGTTATTGATCAAAATCTTTTATAGTAGATTAAGATGGTGTTTTTCTTCTCTTTCATTAATTTCTCCACCATCATTCATCTCCTGATCAAATTAAGTTATCGTCGAAGATTGAAATAAATAACTAGATACAGAAGGTAATTATGTTTCTCATAATAGTTTACTATATATGTTAGTTTTTATTATAATAGGCAACTATATTTCTGATAATAGTTAACTATATATGTTAATAACTACGTTTTGAACTAGTTAACTATGTTTGTTTAAATAACTAACTATTACAACAACATTTTTTTTGTAGTCAACTATATCTTGAAATCAGTAGTGCAGTTAACTATGCTATGAAAATAGTTAACTATATTTCTAAATTATTTTCAAAAAATAATTAACTATATTTTAGATAGTTTACTATGTTCTAAGACGTTTCAAGTTATTAAATAGTTAACTGTTATGACATATTTACTTTTTGTATCTTCTGATCCAATTTTTTTTTTCTATAGCAGTTGTGAAAACACACATCTACTTTTGGCAAGAATACCGCCGCATGAACAATTTTCTAGGGATTAAATCAAGAGAATATATTTTAGAGATTTTTTTATGTATATTTACCTTAATTATAGTTGTAAGGACAGTTTTGTCATAATTTAATTCTCTTTGCTTGTTACCTAATTATATTTTTGGATATGTTCAAGTCCTAATTATAAATCTCAAAAAGTAATATACACCTAATCAACTCTTTAATTTTTAATTAAAATTTCCAAAAAATTGAGAGTTTGACACGTAAGCAAATTAATCCATCTTCATGATCTATGCAGCTTTGATTCTTGCATACATGGAGGAAACCAGAGAAAGCCTTATTGGTCTCCCTGAAGAAAGAAAGGACAAAACAAACAAATTGCAAAAGAAGTTTCAGAAACAAGACTTCAAAAGATAAAACTTTTGATTTAATCCTTTTCTTTTTAAGCTGTACTATCATATTTGATAAATCTTCTTAAGTACACAATGCACTTGTTGTAAAAACAGTCTTTTTTTTCTTTTTTGAATAAATTTTAGAGAAATTGGCAAAAATAACACATAAAAAAAAATTATAATCTAAAAACTAAATCCACACATCCAATGGTCATGAATTTGCCACATACCCCAATTTTAATTACTTTTTAATATTACTGTTTTTGGTTATACACTAAAATGACCCTAAATTTTATATTCATTTAAAAAAAAAACTTTACACTTGGTTTAATAAAATGCACATGTAAAATGTCCCACATCATTTAGGGGAAACATTTTCATGTGGTATATAATATGATAAACTTATATCTAAGTTCAAAACAATAGAATATACATGGACCGGGTTGGAGAAATTAAAAGACCACACGCGCTCGCTCGCCTCGCCGAGCACGGGCTTGTGTCTTGGGGTCTTGGGGTCTCGGGGAATCTCGCAGAGCCGAGCTCTATCTTTTTGGAGCATGGTCGAGTCGGTTTGGGGTTTCATACGGTTTGATGATCAAATCGGTTTGTGGTTTCAGATTTAGTTTGAATGCGATTTAATGGTTTGGTTAAGTGGACAATAAGATAGTCAAATATCTTCTACTCCACGTATCTCGCCAACTTCTCCACTTCCTCCTATCTCGCCACTTCTCCATATTCTCTCAACGTCAATATATTCTTCAACAGGAGGAGAGATTTGCGGGATCTGAACTGCACCTCCTTGGCTATATAATCAGCCTTCGTCTCATCCTTTTAATCACCTGATACACACAACAAAACCGTTCATCTCTCTCTCCGTTTTTTGCAAG